GTTACTGTCATTGTAATGAACCTACAATTATGCATTTTAATGATAAGGGTAATGACATGAACCTAAGGATGATGATAATCATCATAACTGCTATTCTTATCGTTATTGTTAATTATATTAGTAATAGTATTATCATTAGCATCTTACTTCCTAAACTGATATTCTAATTACCATTATTCTGTTTTATTGTTCATAATGTATCACCAGCACCATTAGATGTCGGAATGAATATCAAAAAGGATCCATCAGACTTTGAACTACTATTCGCTTATTGTAGTTATATTGATAAGTAAATGTAAGCTAAACTACATGTGTTTTATTAAGCGATTATTGGTAATGTTTCAGAGTCTTACTTGAACAGGTAGTAAAATCAGTAGTAGCAGTATTAGTAATGATGATAATGATGATTACCGTCATAATGACAATAGCAATCATAAATCGATTAGAAGAACTGGGATCCTTTGGTGATCCTAACCACGGTTGGAATTCATTAAAGACGAAAGTTTAGACGAAATCCTCTTACAAATGAGTACCTGGTGTCATCGTAAAGACCAGACAAGTGCAATGTGGGACGTTAAAATGTATAAAGAATCTCTTTTCGCGAACTTACGTGTCATATCAAAAAACACTTTATTTAATTTTATTTTTTACGCAGCCTGATCCTCGGCACCAGTGAATTGTGCTTGCCTATAGTTTATATTTTTTCAAGGACATGAAGTCATATGAATAGTAAACACGAGCTACTATAGTGATCAACTTCTGTCAGCTGACTCACGATAACATTGTTTTTATTCAAGGTGAAACAAAATTCAGTAATTTATGTAACTGTTATTTTAAAAGTTTACTTGCGTTATTTTCACATATGTCTTAATGTGCTGAATTCCATACGTTATGCAGAACACTTCAGAAATGTTTTCGCTGTGGTTGCCTTGTCTTTAATTATAACATTTAATGAACTACCTCTCATATGCCTCCCTAGCCTGGGTTTCTTGCAGGTCAATATAAATCCACTAGAATTTTTGAAATCCCGTTCATGATTCACAGATATCTATCAATATCATTGCTGCATATTCCAAAAATACCCCTCCCCCCCTAAATAATTGCTTATGATAAAAAAAAGTTCTATACATGCGGTATGTCGTAATGATTTCCGTATTTTTTTCTTTGTGCGTAATGATTTAAGCGAATACACTCCACATTCTACGGTTCGATTGGAAGAGGGTCTAGGTGGGCTAAGTACTTTGAGCTGCTTCCTGGCAGCCCCTCCAGCCGAGCAGTGATCCATAGCAGCCGTCAAGGTGTAGGCACGCCCTTCAAAGAAGCCTCGCCAACCCACACTGTGGTGAGAGCAGTGATGGCCAGAGAAAAGACTGAAAAAAAACAGCTCTCTTTCTTATCACTCGTAAATTCCTTAAATCTGGTATAATGTCCCTTTCGCTGGAGAGGATCTCTCTCGGCATTCTATTATGAGAGATCAAAGCGACATTACAGAGCTGCAGCGATTATCGAGGCTTTACATGGTTCACATGCAAGAGACACACTCATCTGCTTCTGACCAGGATTTATGGCCATCGGTTAGGGAATCGATGCTCATCCTCGTCCTCCCTACGATTGCATGGTAACTCACACACAATTCGAGAGAGCATGTGGAGCAAGCTATTTGGCAACTAATTCCAGAGATAATGAAACGGAACTTTACCATCCTCACAGGCGTTGAGAATGATGTCAAACGCAATAAGAACCCATCTTCCTTATTCCCCACAGATATAGGTTTTGGATCAAATGTTCAACACCTCATATGGATTTAATACTACGCACTGACATCTATTTCTTATTTAGCTTCTGACTTCGACTCCACTGGCGATATATCCTGTGCCGCTGGAAATCCTTGTAGTAGCCAAGGAAGGCACTGATGCGGAAGGCTTGTGGTAAGAAGAATGACACAGCAGAGGTTAACCACCGCCTGGATCTAAACCAACGGTGTTATAGAAACTCTTAACCATCTATATTGTTTAACAGCGGGGCGTAAACACTGAACAATGACTCCAGAAGGTTCAACAACGAGCATCTGTATAGTTATGGATAATCACAACAGTACCTCTGTATGAAGATAAACCAGCAAATTGGTATGAGGTTCACCATTATACTGTTAAAGAAACGCCAACTGGAAACATGGATATGTGACACATTTCCCTAATACTGATACTATTCATTGGATGATTTTCCAAGGATTGAACGCAGAGGAAAGGGATCGCAAGAAGTCAGACACATGACCGTTTGGAAAACTCAAACCTCATTAAAAAAAAAACGTATGCTACAGCTTATCTTTATTTTCTACCCCTTTGCTCCCGCTTAGTTCCTCTCCAGTATTGTTATTCTACAGACATTTTTTTTAATAAACGCCGTACGTTATGAAAAAATTGCGGTTTTTTTACCCTACTAAAAATTGCACACTTATTCTTAGATGCTTAAACAAAGAGATCTTAGAACTGACTGATGGGCGGGATGACATTTTACGAAACATAATTAAAGTAGTAATAATGATGGTGATAAAATAAAATAGTATTTTAATGAATTTTACAAACATTGTAAATTAACTCATGCTCCTACGTCATTTTTATCGTCAGTAACGTTATTATATTTTACATTATCTTTATTATTTTTAATATCAGTTACGGTAGCAATAGTTAATATGATACAATAATAACGTTCAACAAATCATTATCGAAATTAATGACAAGAACAAACATCAATAGTAAATCGTTGCCGCTCTCACCATCACATACGTCCTTATCATCAGATCCTCAATATAATTATCATTATCATTAAATTAGTAATGACACTAGCTATAATTATCATTACAATTATTGTTTCTCATCAGTGTCATTATAAAAAGATTATAATGTCATTAGTATTAACATACTAGTATTACCATTCCCTAAAATTAGCATTAATCTTACTGTTACTTTTATCATTACTTTTACTATCGTAACTAGCCTTATCAAGACTACTGCCTTTATCATTTTATCATGGTATTTGTCAGTATCACCATTACCGTTCGAAATCTATTATTGTTATTATTAGTTATAGATATAAGTAATAAAATCTATGTATATATCATTAATTTTGATGATAGTGATATTGACTCTTAATAAAAGCAGGGATGATAAGAACAATGACATAGATTGATAATTGTGATAGTGACGACGACGACGACGATGATGATAGTGATGATGACAGTGGCGGAGTCTGTTAGTTGTAGTGATAATAATTATAATGATGATAATGGTGGTGATGATAATGACGGATGTGATGATAATTGTGAACAAAAGATATGAAATGCAATCTTAGTAATATTCCTACTGTCACCTTTATTATCACTCAACAGTAACAACAGCATATCAATAGTAATGATACTCCTGGTAATAATTACCAAGAGATTCTAAGTTCGTGATTATGAAAGTAATAATTAGTGCAAGGTGTTAATAACCATTCGGATTATTTGGGTGTTATAATTACTATTACAGTCAATGCAATTCATATCGTTAATACATAAACAAGTCCGTAATCTGTTTGTTTTCAGTACTATCTGTATCACTGTATGTACACAGTCACTGCACATATTGCATATATTTACATAAAATTACACAATATGGTATCACAAATATCTTATTGGAACATCAAGGCTTACTCAGTCCTGACATGCCGCAAGTTTATTTCTTTTTCGACTGATGTATTTACACACAAGTCTACAAAACGAGTTCTAGAACTTGAGTGCTGATGTTGTGATAGTGAGCACCAGTTCTGAGATGACTGGTACTGGCCTTCTGTTCAGTCTTCCCAACTCACCAGTAAACCGGGAATTTAACTGCTTCTTGGGAGGGTGAAAGGGGAGGGGGGAAGGGGAGGGAAGGGGAGGGGAGAGGAGAGAAGTAGCTGCTGGCATCTTGGTGTCTTTGCATCGAGAAACAAGCCAACTTTCAGGAGATACCGAGTTTAAATATCAGAATAACTAACGACAGCTGGGAAATGAATAATAAACCATAAAAATAGAGACATCAAAAATTTGGTCTCGGCCAGACCACGACAATCAACATGCTCTGTAAATCCCCAATCATTGGTAAAATGGACGTGCGGTTAGTGGAATGCGCCATAGCGGGCTTGGAGAAGGATTACTATACAATCTATACACAAGACAGGTAATTGTCCCCTGGCGAGGCTAGTGTTAACATTCAGGAGAGCCACGCGCACGTCCCGGCCAGGCCCTTAGGCTACGAGCAGGCCTGACGCACTCCTCCGCCTACTAACCCTTACTATTATTTCTCACTAACATTTACGTTATCAGCTACAATCCCCTTATCAGCTGCCGTGGGAAAATGCTTCATAGTAATTCCACAACTTGACGTTTGCGGTGTTTGAATCCAGCCGATGTTTCCACAAACGAGGTTCTGACACTCCCGTCGTTTCATGAGGGGGAAACTGGCTTAAACCACCATGTCTGATGAGTGATAAATGGAGCTGCCAGTTTTGCAACTCTCCTTCAACCTACCTGTTTGAGAATTGTCTGTTTCTTTGCGAATATTGGTGAATTAAGAACCGCAATAACATAAGTTGATCTAATAACTATACCATATGTTGTATTTTGCCGGCCGGCTATGCCACCCTCTAGCCCTCGGCCAATCACAACACAGGATGTTTTCCAGTAGCCAATCACGTGGTTCGTTCTCTTAACCACGCCCACAAGACCTCAAAATATCCAAGTGCGATCTTTAAATAATACAATACGCTTCCGTTTCATCATTCTTATATGTGTTCTCAAACAAATTTGTCTTTTAGTCATCACGAATACATTGTACATCATGCAAGTCAGTTAAGAGACCCAATAGTGTATCATTTATGGGCAAAAATGCGAAAAGTGTAATTAATCGAAGAGCGACCTTTGGCATCCGTGCAAACAGGTGTAGGGGCGGCTCTTACCTGGGTCTTCAGTGGTCGAGGCG